CAGGAATGAATTTATTAATTAAAAAAAGGTTATACTATACTATTCTTGTTTACCAGTGTCTACATCATGAATTTAATGCACATCTAATTCAGTGTGCTTTGTTTCTAGAAGCATGCTTGTATAATAAGGGTAATACACATCTCCAGTTTCATGCAGTGGTGGAAGCAGTCTTGCTCTTGTGTTTAATAAACATTTTATACAATTTAAATACCATTCAAAAGCAGGGAAAGTTAAGTGTTCGTTGCACCCCCATTATGAGTTGTCTGTACTTTTTCCCTCGTTTTTAAACTTATTTTTTATTTGCACTTTCAGTGTTACGTTGTTTAGTATAGTTAAAGTTGTGTATTATTATTAGCAAATGTTTAATTCATGTGTGTTTTGTTTAATAGTTAATGTTCTCTTAGTATTTGACTGGACTTCTCAGGGGGGCTGTAAGATGATTGTTTTTCTCTCCTACAGGAAATTGTAGAATAGATCTACAGAAACCAAAGGAGTTATTCTTTGATTTAGTGAATTAAAACTGTTTGCATGTAGTTTTCAGATTTGATGTCGTAACTCCTCCTTTTCATTTCAAAAAGATCAATTTTAATTAATATACAAAGACAAAAGCGAAGCATTCTTGTTTAATTAATTTAATGGATTTTTAGACTTCAGTCGAGTCAAGCGGTAGCAATCAAATGAATCTTTGCTGCTGACGTTAATTTACAGGAGTCAACAGGACAAAACTTCACGACATGATAGCTGATCTGGGCGATGATGAGATACCCCACATCCCTTCAGGAATCATTAATCAATCTAGGTCACCCTCTTCTAGAATGACTGATCATGAAGGTGCAAGAGCAGAGGAAGGTACAAAAAATTCAGCTACTTACTGTATTTCAGGAGATTTCTTTTAGAAAGCACACACTGTAATTTACTGTCCCCTCTATAAAGTTTAATGCAATTGCAGATTGCCACATTCATTATTATTGTATTTGCAATTCTTCCCAAATGGTTTTATGAGAATATGGCTTGAGTTTCAGTGGCTTATCGTAACTCACCAATATTTCATAAGTGTTTTTAAACAAGTTCATGTACAGCCGTGTGTTCTGCAACTATTGACTATTAAATCCCTGTTTGCAGACCCCCCTGTTAGCAAACCCTTTTACAAATAGAATGTTACTGATTGAGGGGGAAAAAGGTGAGTATTAACATTTGATACACAGTTTGCATTTTAAAGTGAAATTTTAAAGTGCTTATGTAAGTTACGAGACTAATTTTTCTCTTTTCCTGAAGTTTAATGTTCTCTTTTTAAAAACTCTCTTGGTCTATACACACAAGTTTAAAGAGACACTATTTATTTCTTTACAAAGTATTAGTTTCAGTTTCAGGATTATCTTAGGCAATGGAGGTTAGTGACAAGCTATTATCTAAATAGTCTGAAATCTTATATTCAGCTTTAAGTTTGTTAAAGGAATGATTTTCCTTGTATGAACTTTGAGATTAGAATACCATTATGTAAATTCTGTCATCTACTCAGAACATATTAATACAAAATACTTGGCCGAATTCAGATTCGGCTCCTTTATGATGATCTTTAACTCATAAGCCCTGGGGTGGTATCAGCTATACCAGAAATAGAAAGAATTGATGTTATTACTGATCCTGATAATCTGTTGTTTCTCCTATTCTTCCTTCACACCTGCCCCCACAAATGCCTCTCACCAGGGAAGCAGAAAACCAGAAATTTTGCAGAGAGGTTTTTGTTGCTCTCCCTAACTGTTGTTTTACAACAGTGTTTTTCTTCCTACCTTCTCTTTCACTGCCTTCCTTTTCATGTTTGTTTTTATTTATAATTTAGAGATGAACCAATGTCAAATTTACCTCTGGAGTGCAAGTGGAAAACCTGCTGGTGAAGTTCCGCTTGCTAAAAGCTGTGGACATACATTTGGGTTGCATTAAAGTTTAGTATCTACATACTTTAGGTTGCCTTTTAGCCTAGTATTAAGGGCATGTGACCCTACAGTTACAGTTCCCTCAGTCTGTCTTAAGCTATTTTTCTCAAACCATAGACGATGTGCAAAGGAGCGCAGATTTTTGTGTTAAGGATAGGCCATTTAGCTGTTGTCTCTTCCAGAGACTTTACATCTAAAATAATATTGGGCCAAACAATCTTTCTGAAGAAATAGATGCTAAATTTGAATTTCATTGAGACTGACTTTTATTACCTGGTTCCTGTAGCACAAACATAGTGCTACACTTAAAATAAAGATTGTCCACAGTATTTTCAAATAAACTGTGCCTTCAGGATTATGTTTTCATGCTGTTTAATGTGTTCGTATGTTTTTAGCTTATCAGTGTAATCAGCTTTCTTCATTAAGAGTAGCAGTATGAATATCTCTGCCATCATATGTATTAATTGTGATTTCTGCGTAACTTTTAAACGTGAATATTAGAGCGTAAATTTTGCTGTTTGATCAGAAATTCTTTCCTGAATAGTATGTAGTTTAAGTTTTTGTCTGCACCATATGGTGCAAAGGTGCAAGCAAACAAGCTTAGTGTTGTCTTTTAATTCCTTCTAGGTCTGTCTTTTGTTAACAAGGCCAAATACTTTATTATCATAAAATGCAGGTTTTGCTCAATTATTTATTCAGCTGTATTTTAAAAGCTAAGCTTTTTTGCAGACAACTTCAGGCTTTCCTGCTGGGACACACTAGCCTATGCTGATGAATGTTACCAAGCCATAATGTTCTTGTGACTGTATGTAAGGTTTATGCTACACTCTGAAGTGTTACAGTTCTGAGAACAGTGGTTTATAATTTTGTTTTCATATAGAGAGCAAAGTGTTGTTAATCTCACTTCTTTTTTTCTTGAAGGGCAGGGGTGTTCAGGGAGGAAAGTAAACTGTGGTTCTAATTAGCTGGGAATATATCTTGTACACGTCTAAAGGTGTGGGATTTTTGTTGTGGGTTTTTTGTTTTTTGTTCTGTCCCCCACCCCCCTCCCCCCACTATCAAGTGCCTGGTTAAATATGATGAGAAAATTGTTATGCTGTAGTTATACTTTATAGTTTTGGCCATAAAATCTTGGGGTTTCTGTTTCACCATATTGCATGATTTTCAGAAACAATCAACTGGAGCATGATTCTCCATCTGGTGTATTGTATAGAGAATTACTACTTTGATGGGTTGTTTTTGAATATGTAGAGATTGTGGGGGTGTCAATCTATAAATCAACAACAACAACAAAAATAGCAATAACAGCTAATTGCGTGGGCATTAACTGCTGCTTTCGGTGTACCATGCATGAATTTTCTGGAAAACAAGATTAAGATGTCCCTGTCAGATAGCAGACAACAACAGACAGTGTATCTGAACATACATATTTGATTTGAGATTAAAGCAGTTTCAGTCTGTACAAATATTACTGCTTGAATTTGACTTAATTATGTATGATGTCAAGAACTTGAGTGTAAGAAGTCCTGGTTAGGACTGGCCAAGCAAATACTTAATCATTGCGTTTTTTTCACCTAGTTTCACCTGCAAAGAAACTTGTACTGTTGCTTAGAATTTTACTGGTATTTATTGGTTGCAAAACCAGGTAAACATATATATTATGCTCTGAGGACAATATTGTACTGTGTGTTTTACACAAACACTTTGGGTTTTTTTTTTTTTTATAGATGAAAAGCATTCAATAAGTAATTTATTTAACTTTATCATGTGCATGTAACTATTGAGACATTGTTTTTGATATGTGGAGTTGTGGGTCTTTATTTTTAGTAGCTATAATATCACGCATCTTTCATTGCATTACTTTTCTGCCCTGTTTTTTTACAAAAACAGCTTGGAATCATTTTTTAAACTCATTTGAATATGTCTTATTTGCACATTTTATTATTTTAAAATAATAAAATGTAGTTATACAACATATTATACATATATATTGAAAACTTTAGCATTATGCATATGCTTCTGAATTTTGGATAGGGTAATTTTTAAGCTTTAAATAAAGGGATATTCACCTCTGATGCAAATAAAGCTTAATAAATTTATAATACAGAATCGTATTAGTAGTGTTTTTCTGTGGTGGTACTTCATTTTTACTATAAATAATATGAAAGTTGATCTGTTAAGGACAGGTGACATTAATTTTTCAAAGAATTAGTATGTCAAGTTCAGGGGCTCATTTAAACATTTTGGGCCTGTCCTAAAGATCAAGTAGGAATCACAGCATCACAACAGGGATGGAAAGTGTTCTCAAGTTTAAAAGAAACATATTGCCTCCTTTCCCAAGTGATCAGCGGCTCTGTTCTGTAATGACTTGGGAGTTTCGGCTTGTAAATGGATACTTATATTTGGGACGTTGGGACCTTGTCAAGACAGTAGAGAGCCAGTTTTGGAAGTTCCAGATGGAAGTATCGGAGTCTTTCTGAGGGAGACATAAAGAAAAGAAAAAAGAAGCAACACAAAACCAATCAAACCATAACAAAACCAATGAACTAAAAAGCCCCTCTGTTTCTTTATCACTTTTTTTTCTCCCACTCTTTTTCTGTCAAAAAAGAACCAGAAAAAGCTGGTTATTACTCTGAAGTAATTGAGGGGCTAATCATTATTCATGTGAGGATTTCATACTTGAGGTTCACCCAGAGAATGTTTGTGATGTTATTTTATTTCTTGCTTCATATAAAGTATTGTTTGTATCACCTTTTATATTCAGATCAGGCACTTTCAAGAAGAAATCCATACCTAGAAATTCTAATCTCATGTAACAAGCATGAATTCCTGATACCCTCACCATCCCCCCAAGAAAAAGCCCCAAATCCAAAAACCAATAATAAGGGAAATAGGTGGGAACATGGAAAATAATCAGGTGTTTTCTAGGAATATGGCTTTTTCTGAAATACGTGTGGTTTGGAATAGACTGACAAATAGAGGGGTTTAGTGAAATATTAACAGAAATTAAAAGCTTTTTTGTATAAGGGCATGATAAGCTATTTTGTGCGGTTAATTTAATGTAGTATTCTGACAAGTGAAGATCTTTATGTGGATTGTGAATGTTGTAAAAGATGATTGTGCATAGTCGGAATACTTATTTGCTGCTCTTATGCAATTGTAGGAATAAGTCTTTTCTTACGTGATAATACTCTTAGATTCTCACATACAGTTGTGTTGCCTGTGCTAATAAAGGTTACATTTTTTCAGTAGTACAGTGGTTGCCAAGCATTAGAACTTGTTTTATTCTTGAGGATTTATTTGATTTTTTTTTTTTTTTTTTGAGGAGTGTTTTTTTTTTTTTTTTTTTTTTTTGATCTAGCTGGGCTGGCTCCTCTTTGCATAGCCATAGCAATGATGCCAAATGTGTATAAGTTTGCGCTTGGTCTCAGTTACTTTTCTTCAGCTAGAGTGGAACATAAGTAGGTTACCATTCAGACAGCAAAGATACAGAATAATAAAGATACATGTTAAAAAAGGGATGTGTTTATTATTAGTCCTCTTGTTTGGAACTATTTTTGTAAGGATATGGATGTTTTTCAGATCTGGAAACTTTATCTTCTTGGAGTTTCAAGGTTTTTCTGAGGGGATTAGAAACAACGGGTGGCATTAAAGTGAGACCAGAACTCTCTATTCCAAATCAGTGAAGTTCAAAAGTCAAGCAAGTTTAATTTTTAAAGATGTCAAATACAATTTAACATATTTTGCAGATGTTTGCCCTTGCTAAACTTCATACATTGCTAAAGTTTAAGTACTCCGCCTAACAGGTGTCCCGGTATTTACCAAGGAAGGAATATGGATAAGTAAAAGCAGCTTCTAAGATGTGCTAAAGTATTACAATGTGTTCTTCACTGCTAAATTGGTATTTGTGGGTAGAGGGAGATATACAGAATTATTAAGTAGTGTAGAGAATATGGGTGAATAGATGAAACTTTATTATTTAGATGTGAATACAGAATGAATGGTTATATGTAATTTGTATTCATGCAAAATTATATTAACATAAAAGTTAATTTTAATTTGGGGAAGGCACAGCTAGCTAAGTATCAGTTGAGTGTATTTTTAAAATAGAATCCAAAATCATGCTGAGAAACCAAGAGAGGGAATTAATGAATAACAGATGTTTTCATTTTTTTAATCATCTGAAAAATCAAAGTAGGAGAGATGTTTTGCAGGAGGCCTTTAGCCTGAGAGGTGAAAAATACTTACACGTGCAAGTAGAAATATTTGAATAGTATAAAGCACAGAGACTTACTTGCAAATGAGTAGGAGGCGGATAGCATGGTGTAGTGAATGAAATATTTGTTTGAGAACTTTGAGACCTGGGACGTACATTTGATATTGCAGTGTAATGTCAGTCAAGTCACTTGTCAGTGGTATTGAATACCTCTGTGAAGTAAGTTGAAATCAAATGATAAAGCATGATATAAGAATTGTGCATTTAATATATGTGTGTGTTTGCACATGTGTGCGTGTCATCGTGCTCTTTTTTTTTTTCAGTTGGGGCGGTATGTAGTACATACAAGTTCAATTTTAAACTCTGCTTTGCTTTTAAGTGATAAATAATGCAGTTTTTCATCAGTTTGAATTATTACATTGAGACTTAAAGAAACTGTTTTGTTCTTTGTAGCTGAGCCAATAACGTTTCCACCTGGAGGAGGCAAGTCATTTATTATGGGTTCTGATGATGTGTTGTTAAGTGTACTGGGCCTTGGAGACCTTGCAGACTTGACAGTAACAAATGATGCAGACTATAGTTATGATGTAAGTGCAATTTCATTTTAAAATTTTTTATACAGTTTGGTTTAATCAGTAGTAGTTGGGTCCCCTCTCCCCTGCCCTGAGTATTACAGATGCAGAGAGCAGAACTCTCATTAGTGTAAGCTATTACTTGGGAGGAGGAGGGAGCACCTTGTGAATGGGCTAAGTAATTTGAGTCCTCAAAATCAAGTGAGACAACTTATTTGTTTTCTGCTTACATAGTTCAATTCAAATTCTGTCATTGGGGGAATGTGTTATAAAATACAGATTGACATCTTAAAATGAATTTGTTTCAAAAGAAATGTCAATTATACACTGATATGGAGTATTGAGAAGACAAGGCATAAAACACAAATATTGATATTAACTTATTTCTTTGCTCTCCCCTTTGTGTTTATGTAGTGTTAACAGCATAGACTACATATGGTAATATATTTCAGATGTAAGCTTTTAGGGTGTGTTTTTATCACAATCCAGAGTGTTCTGACATTCCTTTGACTATTCATTAAGCTACTACCAATAGTGTTGCATGAATTTTTCATCGACTAGTAACATTTGATGGCTGGTTAGGGAAGTGTTCAGGTAAGTCTTACATAGTATTGTATTTAAAGTGTCTTTTTTGTTGTTGTTGTTGTTGGTAAGGTACCTCTCTGTTTCGTTTCTATAACTTTTCAAGTTAGATACATGATGTTCGTACTGGAAATCATTACTAGGGATTTTATTAAAATCTTAGAATCTGCAAAGTGAAGAAATAAATTGTGTATAGCTTTTTACAGGGTCTGAAAATACTTGTGTGACCACACTTTTTTTTTATCATAGTTGTCCTTCAGTATTTATAACTGGTAAGAATATTAATTGTTGTAATGAAGTAAGAGCCAATACCTACATTTCTCCTTTATTGCAAGGTGTTATGTTACATAGTTCTATTTGCTGAACAACAAATGAAAATGTTAATTATCCATTGTTCTATTACTGGACTGTATAAAAACAAATGAAAGGGCTTTTTTAAATATTTGGAGTACTTTCTAAATTTGTACAATGTGTAGTCCTGTTTACCTGTTCATAGTAAATGTTAGTCTTCAGGTTGTTTCATTTCAAATGACATAACACATCTGGGAAATCAGAGAACTTGATATCAGAGTTCAATTTCAGCTCTTTGCATCTTAACTTGCTCAGGATTTTGCCTTCTGTCTAGCTAAATCTCTTGTAATCGCGTGTAAAATGTGTCAGACTTGAGGATCATGTACAATTGTTTAGAAAATTATCACTACTTTTTTAAAGTTTCAGTGAAATCTGTGGACAAGTGGACTTCAAATAGAAATTTTTCAAAAACTTCCATTGTAAATGCTTTAGGGCCACTTAAACTTGAAACATCCAGAACTGGATGTTCCTAACTAGTAGTAAATTCCCCTGGGAATTATGAGGTTGAATAGTTTGGGGGGTTCTTTTATGTAGTGCTGTATTTAGTTGGTTGAATAACTTCTAAATGGTCCTGTCTGTATCTTCATCAAAGAATTAAGAAAAGTTTGGTTTAATGCTAACTTGCATGAGGAAAAAAGTTTATTTTAAAGCAGTTTAGAATCTCAAATCAAGCTTCTGAACTTGTCAGTTGAATATTTTCTTTAAATGTTATTCCCATTTTATTGGCAGTAAGTATGAGGCATCAAAAAGCTAGATGGTATACTTTCAGTAGTGAGGCGGCTATGGTTGTGAGATTAGATCACAAATTGTTTTTGCAGTTGCATTGCATTCTCTCTGATCTATTCCTGAGCTCAGAACTTTGGAATATCAAGATCTGGTGGGCCACACTTGCCCTTCATTAAATTTATAAGGCTAAACTGACAACATTTGGCTCTTAAGGGCACATGTTTGTAATCACAAAATTTTCTGATTGTTTTTTCTTTTAAAAATCTAAAATTGTTAAGCACCCTTCTTCACTCTTCTGCCCACCAAAATCCCAAGTCAGCCTGTATGCTAGACAGTTAATACACAAACTAACTGGTATGGTGACCCTTAGGGTTGGTCTGTGATGCTGTATTTTGCATGGCTTCATTCTTGGTCGGCTGTTTTTAATGTCATGAGAATGATTATCCATAACAATTAATAGCATAAGTACCAGGTTCTGTACAACTCCAGTATTAGCAGAATACTTTATATCTCTTATTATAGATCATTATTTTCTGTTGTTCTTCAATTACCTCTCCATTGAGAATTACTCTCTCTCACTATATATATGTATAAAAGGAACAAGAAGTTCCTGGACTGAAATGATGGCAGTCTGTAAAAACAGTGAGAAGAAGCACCACTATTCACGTATTTTTTCTTAAGCATTTTTGGTTGTTTTTAACTACTGTCAGAGACTGAGGCTGAGCTAGAAGCATCTTGGATCAAAATAATGCAATCATTAATATGTTGTTCTGATGCCATAATGGCAAATATATGCCTTTCTATGCTAAAGGGATTCCAAGAAGGTCTTTGATATAAAAGAAGGAATTGGTGATGTCTTTTGAGGAAAATGTCATGTTTGACTGCAACATTGCAAATTTTCAATATATTACTCCCTTTTGTGAAGTACAGCTTCTTCATAAAAACAATGTGTAGCCATTTTGCTTATTCCAAGAAAGAGCATTTACAGGTGAGCCAAGACAAACCCAGGAAGCATTACAGTGAATAATATATTTGACACTGACTGATCACACTGAAACAGACTCTGTGTTACTTGTGACAGACCTGACAATGTAGTTTTTATTGTGCAAAGAGTGATGCGGAATAGAACTTGGGGTTGCCTTTGCTCTTTGGAAATGTAAAGCAGGGAATAGAGGTGATAAATACTCAAGCATAAAATACTGTCTGAGCTAATAAGGAATTTGCATTGGAAGGTGATACCTCACAAATTTGGTGAAGGTTTGAAGGTGTCAGTGATCCTGTAGATGAACATGATGATATTGCTTCAGTGTAGTTGGATTTTCAAAATTTTCTCATCGAGACCCTTCATTAGAGGCTCTTTAATTACAGCTTGGCTTGGGAGGTGTATGGGGAGAGGTTACCTGATACTTTAATATCTAGCTGATAAAGGAGACAAAAGATAGAAGTAAGTTTTTGCTTTCTTACTGCATCATTCACCAGATAGGAATGAGAAGTGATTGACAGTAATTTTCACTTGGTTTCCCTGCTTCCTATCCAGTCCGTTCCCAGTGCTCTTAGGGGTTTTAAAGCATATTTGAAAAATGCGTGGTAGCTTCTGACTTCTTCATGTGTCAGGAAAGATAAACTTGAAGTATCAAATAACACAGATGGAAATGAACTTTTTTTATGTTTTTCTTTAAGAAAGGAATCTCTATCCTGTTGTCAATCTGAAGAGACTGAAATTCAGATGCTATTAGTTCTCCATCACAATGTTCCTTCAGGTTAAAAATTCCTTGATAGTTCTCAAATTCTGAAGTTGTTTCCACATAACTGTGGATCTGTATTGCAGTAAGACCGTGTCTTCCCTTGTACCTGTAATACAGTACTTGTAGGGCATCTTAATCTCATGCCCCTATGAGTGTAGCTGAAGCCACCTCCTTTTCCAGTAAATCTTCAGATAAGCAGATAAAGTTAAGCTAAGTTAATGTAAAGTTAAAGTAAAACAGTTTAAAAGTTTAAGTAAAACAGAAAAAAAGACCCAAAACACTTAGTATTCCCACTTCTTGCATTTTACTCCCATTAGGTCCATGCTCTTCAAATAGCTTGTTTGAGCCATTATAGTGCATGAATAAATAAAGCCACAACAGGGTTCCACCAGCTTTCATATATCACTCCTTGAAGAGTTTTGTGTGAGGATATATATACAGGGTGAGGATTAAGTTTTAAATCTTAAGAATTTCAACTATAGCTGAAAATTTTTCTGTATGTGAATGATTTAGTGCACCAGTTGTCCACAAGACTACTCATCTGAGCAGTGGATATGGTAATACAGTACAGTCATCTCAAGTTGTTTTTTCAGTTTCTAGTTCTTTATATTCACCTCAGTCTGTGTAGTTGTTTGTACACTGAGGGAGCAGTATTGTCACCAAATCAAATGCTCACATTTCTTGGATGCCATAGCTGCACAGGGTTGAGGTGGTTTCTGCTGTAGTAATGGAAAGTCTTCATTTATCATACCATCTGAATTTGGAAATTTCTAATTGGTCACAACATTATAAAGAAAAAATATAATTAAAACATATAAAAGACTCTGAGTAGTTACAAATTATTGCTAATTCCTGTTTGCTGTAGGTGAGTAGTTGAGTGAGGTAGGGAAATAACACGTCTCCTTACTGTGCTGTAAGGATTCTGCTAGCTGCGGGAGCAAGAAAGACCTTCCTTCCCTGATGTCCTTTTTTTGTCTTTTTTGTCTTGTTGGATTTTTGTTTTGTTTTGTTTTGACTCGAATGTAGTTTCTTTCAGTCTGGTTTGCTGGTGCTTTACGAGGCAGAATGAATAGGTTGCTTCTCTGTTTTCTCATACAGACCAACAAAGCAAAGGCAAAAAGGGATTTTTGAGCAAGTATTATAAAGCAGGCATTTCCAATGATGATTGCTCCTCTAATCTGGTTAGCAATTTCTTGTGGTATGTGGTTTGTATGGTTTTTATTTTTCTCTAAGCTTAAGGAGATTTTGTGGTAAAGACTTTTTAGGATATATAAAGTGTTTTGTGTCTCCTGACCTAGGCAGAGTTTTTGTTTGGGTGTTAGTGGGTGGTTTTGGGCGGGAGAACAACTCTTCTTGATTTTGGTAGACCCTACTATTCTAAGCATCTACTTTGTGGCTGTTTGCTGACAGGGGAGTAGGATCAAGGATTCAGCTGATCCGTCTTGGTCCTGTTAATTAAAGTCCATCAAAGTTTAGGGAAGAAGGGAGAAGGAGCTAGTGAAGCTGGATGGTTCCATAATCTGTCTTCTCATGACTTTATCTTTTGGCATTTATAGTAGAACATTGAGACTCAATGGGGCAGTGTGTCCATGCCTTCCATTTTGAGAGGCTTTTGAGACGTCACACTATAGAAGACTGATATACAGTGTCACATTTTACTACTTTTACGTTATAGCTCTGGCCCATTTAGTATCTCACATTTATCCTTTGTAATCAGCAAATCCTTTTTCCAAGTCCATAACTGTGTTTTTCTGAAGTATGTTTTTTTGGAAATATACTACTGGTTAGCATTTTTTCTTAGAGGTGGCAAGAATATCTTTTTAAAGATGTGACAGTTGTTCTCTTACTCTTGCAATAAGGATGTCAAGATTCATTGGAAACATAGATGGAGGGAAAGAATTTTTTAAAAAATCAGCTTATATATAACTAGATTTCTAGGAAGGTGTATGTGGTGTCTTCTAAAAGAACCAAGGTGTTCAAGTCTGTTTTTAAAATATTATGGCTTTAAAGCTATACTTAAGATAGGAAGTGTATCTTGGTTTTGTAACTTCTGTAAATTCTGTGCCTTGCATTTTAGCAGATTCCCCTGAACTGCTGAGAACGAAATTAGCATTGCAACAACCATTTTAATAAAAAAGATTTAATGAACTGTTTTCCTTTTTTTGAAAAATAAGGACCACTGTATTCAGTCCTCGTTTTCTTGAATGACTCTTCATTGCAGCTGAAGGAATCAGTGTGGCATGGGTGCACGCTGCACCCAAAGAATCAAGGTCTTCTGTCTAATCTGGGACATAACAACATGTGATAAAATTAACCATTGCTGTTTCAAATGTTTGGCTTGAATTTCTCCAAGCCCCAGATCACCACAAGTGCATGAGGCAATGTGAGTTAGCCAGGTGGAGGAATACATTACAAAATGAGGATTAAAAATATTGAGGGACTCTGCTAGAAAAATGCCTTTTCCTTCGCCGCCCTCCCCCCTCTTTCCTCACTCCCCTTTCCTCCCCTCCCTTCTATTATCCACTTCAGACTCAGGGAGGTGAACAAATACACAGTTTGGGCTGAAATCTGTGAAGTTTAATGCAGAACTTCAGAATTCCACTCTGTTCCCCGAAACAAAATATTATTCTTTTTATGAAGCTTGTATATAATACGCAGTATATTGCTACATAACTTCAATCTCAATAAAAATAGTGCTTTATTCAGTATGCTCTGAAGTAAGAAGACTGGAAACAAAATACTTTGTTACAAAATGTGTGTGTTTGGATGGTACTGAAAAAAAAAATCCAGGTTACATGCCTGCTATAACAAGTTTCTGTTGCTTGATCTGGATTTGGCATAGTTTGCACTTAGGCCAGACATTTACAAATGTCTGCACATCTGTAACTCAGAACAGTAAATTTTATTGTCTGAACCTTTCTATTTATTTTGACAAGATAGAATCAAATTTAGCTTGAGTGAGTAGTGGTGATTTGAAATGTTCAAGAATATTTATTACAGTATATGTTACCTGATGATCTGATTTTTATTTTCAGTCCTGACAGATATAAGGTACAAAGTTTTTATTAGCTATGGGAGATTTGAATCACTTAATAGTGTTGCTGAAAGTATCTTGGGATACTGAGAGATTCAGTTGAGAAACATTCTTTAACAATTATGTGGTGAATAGATAGTGTGTACGGCAGAGGATAGGATAGGTTTCCATTCATTCTTAGTTTGGTGATTTTGGTCATCTAACTAAAGTCAGTTTTCTAAACTCCCTTTATAATTACTTGAGAGGAAGAGAGAAATACCTGCACATATATTTCTCCTTATGATGGAGGCTGAGGACAAGTGGGATATAGTCTTTTAAGGGTCTACTCTCTCCATAGATTGTACTCAAAGCTCTAAAGTAGTCTCTTACAGTCACTAGAAGAGTTTGAGGTTTTCTGGTAAGTTTTCGGAGTTACCTATAAGTAATATTAAGCAGCTCTAATTTTTGTATTTTAGCCTAACAGTCTATAGGTTAAGAGAATGAATTGGATGTTCACAACATATAAACATAAAATTTGTATATATTGCTTCACATAGTAACTAAGTTATTGTCTCACTAATATATTTAAAACTCATTGGAGACTAAAAAATATTTAGATGTAATATTATGTTTAAAATCATGACAATGTGTGTACTGAAATTTGGATTACCTTTTTCCATGTACATACCTTCACGTGTAGAAGTGCTCAAGAATTACGTATGTTTCCTGTCATTCTCAGTCAAGTTACTCATCTGAGGAAGATGAGTAACTAGGGATCTGAAAGTCTTTTCTATTGCGTTGAAGTGATAAATGAGCTTTTGAAAGTTGTAATTTCTTCCTTGGGCGCAGAGAACATGATAAGCAATGAAACCTGTATCTTCAGGGAAGAAGAGTTAAAGTATCGTTGCACGAAACGATTGAAACCAGTTTTTGAAAATCAAGGCTTCTTGTCTATGTATTCAGCATTGTACTCCATTCTGCTCTGGGACAGAAGAAACTCTCACAACAGAAGAATTTTCAGACTACCTTGCATGCCAGAGAGGGAGTTATAAATGCATATAGACTGATCAATAGATAAATGCAAACTTAAGATTGAATATATATTAGCTGAATCAAAAATAGTGTGTTTTCCTAAAATACGGGGAGATACATATACACATATTTTTAAACCCAAGATAAAATTACTTCTTTCCTTTTTTTTAAGCTGCCAGCTAATAAAGATGCCTTCCGAAAGACATGGAACCCTAAGTATACGCTACGCAGTCATTTTGATGGAGTGCGGGCATTAGCTTTTCATCCTGTAGAGCCTGTGCTGGTTACAGCCTCTGAGGACCATACTCTAAAACTATGGAATTTGCAGAAAACGGTTCCTGCCAAAAAGCAAGTATATGGGTTTTTATAAAACATCAATTGTGTTTTAAATGCCTTTGAAATGGATTAAACTCTTAAATGTTCTCAGAGTTTTTCAGCAGAGATTTTTTGTAGTGTAATAACTCTTGATTTCTCTTTCAGGAGTGCCTCTTTGGATGTAGAACCCATCTACACATTTAGGGCCCACATGTAAGTGTTTGACACAATTAATGCTTGATAAATGTTGTTATCTCATGGATTCATAAGACACCTTAGTTTAAAAACTGATCCCCACCCTCTTGACTCAGTGAGACTGGTAACAAAGTAATTTTACTATTTTTACCCTCAGGCAGGCTTTGAGCAACATTACCTTTCAGCCCAGCTTTGTTCTTCACTGCCAAATATGCAGGTGGATTCAACCAATAGTCTTCATTTTCATCATCTTCAAATATGTAATTCTAGTTTGCTCTTCTGCACTTAAACAACCAGTGAATTCCTTATATCCTGAGCATGGCCTATCAAATGAGCCAGGCATCTAATTTCGGGGATATGGTTTTACAATACAGTTAAACCTGACTTAGTAATGTGTCCAAGGGAGCAGACGCGCAGCTTCCTTTGGGCTACAGCTTGTGCTTGTCTGATATCACAGCAAACAGGTTGAAGTTAAACCGGTAAAAGCCTAATGTTGGCCAAAAAGTACTCGTTCTGGGATCACTTGTCTGAACCACTGTACTGGGGCATAGGGTGCTGTCAGTTCCTAAAATAGGATGAGAAAATAGTTGGGGGAGAGTAAGGGGCTACAACCACCTCTTTGAGCACAGCTGGCTACTAGATTGGCATAGATGCACTGTAAAACCTCATCATATGTAGGTGTAGTTACTCTTGCTTCTGAGAAATAAGATGGTGTTCTTTGAATTGCTTGAATTTGGATAGTTGCAGTTAATTTGTTATGAGTATTTTAATACATTTGGTATTGCTTGTTGAGCCTTAAAGGTTTTAATAGAATTGTTTCTTTGAATTTGAATTTTTTAAACTACTTAATCCCGTCCAATTTTTTTTTTATTTTTGAAAGTAGATAGCCGAATTTTTCACTTCTGTCCTGTAGACAGTATCAATAAACTTATTTTTCTCTGTCTCCCAATAGTGGACCTGTATTGTCTTTGGCAATTAGTTCCAGTGGAGAACAGTGTTTCAGTGGTGGTATTGATGCAACCATCCAGTGGTGGAACATGCCTAGCCCTAACGTGGATCCATATGATACCTATGGTAATTACCTTTTAAAAGATAAACATCTCATGACCGCTGTCTTCAACATTAATTTTCTGCTTGATGCTAGTCTGTTTTCTGGAGCTTTTGTGAAAAGTAACTACCATTTATCAACTACATTGTCTGTTTTCAGCTTTTTGTGTGTGGTAAACATTAATTATTTATTCCCACTTGTCTTGGTGACATACTTTGTATAGAACGTTAATAGGAAGACTGGCAATTTCTGAGGCTTTAACAGTAAAGAAAAAATTAGAATCATAAAATCACAGCGTGGTAAGGGTTGGAAGGGACCTTAAAGATCATCTGGTTCCAATCCCCCTGCCATGGGCAGGGACATCTTCCGCTAGACCAGGTTGCTCAAAGCTCCATCCAGCCTGGCCTTGAACACTTCCAGGGAGGGGGCATCCACAGCTTCTCTGGGCAACCTCTTCCAGTGTTTCACCACCCTCATGGTGAAGAATTTCTTCCTAATATCTAATCTAAATCTGCCCTCTTCTGGTTAGAGCCATTCCCCCTTGTTTCTATCACACACATCCTTGTGAAAAGTCCCTCTCCATCCTTCCTGTAGGCCCCTTCATGTACTGGAAGGCTGCTATAAGGTCACCCCAGAGCCTTCTCTTCTTCAGGCTGAACAGCCCCAGCTCCCTCAGCCTGTCCACGTAGGAGAGGTACTCCAGCCCTCTGATCATGTTTGTGGCCCTCCTCTGGACCACTCTTCTGTAGTTATTAATTATAACTCTTATTTTTTAAGAAGCATGCTTACTGCTTTGAACCAAAATTCCAATTTTTTGAATGAGTATTTATTTCTTCTGATAGGAAGTTCTCCGAAAACTGAAGTGTACTCAAATTCTGTGTCCCATGTTTCTGGCGTACATCTCAGTTCTCGTAACCGATGTCTCTAAAAGAGCTTATAACTGCTTGGAAAACTGCATGTCAGTCTCCTGCCATTGATGGTGACCGGCGTTTTGTGTTTAGTGTAATTCTAAGGGTGCAGTTCTATGGTTGATGGAAGTTTGAATGGGACGGAGTTAGAATTTCTTCCTCTCGCCCTTGTGTCAGTGTAATGAGTGAGATAATACACCACTCAGGCTGCATGATCTCTGACAGACACAGGGAAGGGTGGGAAGCAGTGCTGTCTTGCACCGATTTAGGAAGACAACTATACCCTGTTGCTTAAAACCAATGTATAGCTCAAATTGCTAAAAAAATTTAATCAGTATAGTCTAGTCACTAAAAATGGTCCAATTTCTTCATGCAGGTAAGGATTGTTGGTATAATTTTCATTGGCCTCAGACAGAACTGTCTTTATCTAAAGTGATAAAGTTATTTTTAAAAAAGAGAGCTCTTAATAGGATGTTTTTCCTCCTAAAGCTTGTTAGCAGGGTTTTGGGTTGCAAGACCAACTTATTTTTAATCTCTGGCAAAATTAAATTTTAGTGATTTATCTGGCTTTATTCCTTTCCATTTATCTTTTTCTCTCACTTCTCTCCTCAAAGCCTTTAAAATTTAATCTATTCTCTAGAATAGATTAAATACACCTCTGTAAGAGACAACTATAAAGTAGCAGGGACAAGAAAATAAGAAAGTGTTTACGTGTTCCACAACAGAAATAATCTTGTTTTCATTATGAGGGTGCTTGAGAATTTTATAGCATGCCCCTGTGTCAGCAGAGTGTGCTCAGTGAAAACTACATTAGGCATCACATAAGTGGAAAGCTGATTTTGTTAGGGGTTTTTGTGCCTTGTAGAGAGGAAGGGCTGTGATCAAGCATCTTTAAGATGGTGAATTTGGAGGGAAGAAGGAAGTGCCACAGGGAGGAGGTTGTAACAAGTGTGTATTGTTCTGGAAAAAGGGATGTAGTTGTTTGTGGGGGTTTTTTGGTTGGTTGATTTGTTGGGGTTTTTTGTTTTATTGTTTTTCTTTTGTGCAAAATGACCTCCCATGTAATATTCTAGCCATTGCTTAAACAGGAAGGGCTGGGGAGATATATGGCAGTTTTATGTGGAATTTAACTTACATTGAGGTACAAGAAATACTGATTTAATGTTTCTTCATTAAAAAGATTTAATTTCTGAATTTTTGGTTTTTTTTCCAGAGCCAAACGTTCTAGCTGGCACATTAGTTGCTCACACAGATGCAGTCTGGGGTCTTGCTTATAGCGGTGTAAAGAATCACTTACTATCTTGTTCAGCAGATGGCACTATTAGATTATGGAACCCACCAGAAAAAATGCCCTGTATTTGCACTTACAATGGAGAGAAAGGTAAGATGCAGTGGTTTTGAAAATCTGTTATGAGGCAGCTGATGATGCACCCAGGATCATTATCTCCATTTATCAGAGCTAGGTAACAGGACTAAAGGGAAAAGATCTGTTAATAAAGTAATACTGGTGCTGTGGCATTACTCTGAAGAAGGGAGAAAATTTTTTTCTTCAAGTATGAGTATAAAACAAACTTAATGCTTAAACTGTCAAGAATTTTAAGTGTTTCATTCTTTCTAAAGACAATTTTTTCTCTTTCTAGAGCATGGAATACCTACGTCAGTTGACTTCATAGGTTGTGACCCGGCTCATATGGTGGCATCTTTTAACACTGGCAGCACAGTCATCTATGATCTAGAAACGTCCCAGTCAGTGGTAATGCTTTCATCACAAGTAGAATCTGGTAAGTAAAGCTCTTCTGTATTAAATATCCATCTGGGATGAGGTACCTTTATCTGAATTTTATTATATGGTGAATTAAATGAAAAAGTTTTGCTCCTCTCCTGCGTCATTGAATTTGAAAGTTGGTTAGATGCTTAGAGATGCTTGGAACAGACAAAATGGAAAGGACTGTGGATTAGTCAGATTTGAAAGTGGTTAGAGATAGTGAAAGCAGCAGTTTGCGTTCTCTAAGCTAAGATTTCTCAAGATTCAGTTGTGCGAATTGCATATTAAGACAGTTTTCATTATATAACCTTGACATGGAGGATATGAATATAAGTAAATAAGTGAATTAAGCAGAGTATTAGTGCAGCATAGAATTCTACACAGGTTGTGATTAAACACTTTCTCCTGTAGAACTTTTAATATTAAGAAATTCTGTTGCAACAAATAAGGTGCTGTGAAGATGTAGCTCTTTAGGAATTGTATGTATCTGATGAAACTCTCGATGGAGGAGCCTTCTTTTCTTGAACCTCTGAAAGTCTTCCGTAGGGAAAACCTCCAGTTTCTGATCATTGCTTCCCTTTCTTTGAAATGAGATCTAAAAGAATAATGCAAGGGGATAATTTGCTTCTCCCCTTGAAGTACTCTAGTGTACTTAGTGATGATACTTACAGTATTAAGTAGCTTATATAAAGTTCCAAAACCATATAAAAGCTATATATATTCTAGGTAGCTTATGCAAAAACTGACATTGATGGTGAGAAAGAACATCACAAACTGGAGAAATACCTTTCCTAGTTTGAAGAGAGAATCTTAAATGGAATCAATAAAAAATAAGCATAAAAATGAAGGGAGCAACCATTCTTCAAGTTGAAATAAGACATCTGACAGAATCTAATAGATTAGGTTGACTTCAGTTCTTTGGATTTTATCTTTTTCTTTTTTCTTCAAGCAAAATCTTTTTTTGATGTGAAAGTATAAGATGTGTGTGCTAAACATGTTACAGATGTCACAGTTCATTTCTATCTCACTGTTGCTGCCCTCTCAAGAATCTTTCATGTGTATAAACCACTTGTACAGTTTTAACCTTACCGTACATTGGCTGGAGTATACATGACTTAGCCCCATTGTGTAAAGCAAGAAGTTCTTATTTCTTTCTTAGGAGACTTCATTGATGCTCTGCATAAAATGTAGGTCATCAACAAGCAAGTGGAAGAAAAGAAGGTTATCAGGAGTAGTCAGCATGGATTCACCAAGGGGAAATCATCCCTGACCAATCTGATAGCTTTCTACGATGGCATGACTGGCTGGGTAGATGAGGGGAGAGCGGTGAATGTTGTCTACCTAGACTTCAGCAAGGCTTTCGACACAGTCTCCCATAGCATCCTCCTAGGGAAGCTGAGGAAGTGTGGGCTGGATGAGTGGTCAGTGAGGTGGATTGGGAACTGGCTGAATGGCCGAACTCAGAGGGCTGTCATCAGCAGCGCTGAGTCTAGTTGGAGGCCGGTAACTAGTGGTGTCCCCCAGGGGTCAGTACTGGGCCCAGTCTTGTTTAACTTCTTCATCAGCGACCTGGATGAAGAGTTAGAATGTACCCTCAGCAAGTTTGCTGATGACACAAAACTGGGAGGAGTGGCAGATACACCGGAAGGCTGTGCTGCCATTCAGCGTGACCTAGATAGGCTGGAAAGTTGGGCAGAGAGGAACCTGATGAGGTTCAACAAGGGCAAATGAAAGGTCCTTCACCTGGGGAGGAACAACCCCATGCATCAGTACAGGCTTGGGGCGGACCTGCTGGAGAGCAGCTCTGTGGAGAGGG